AGAGTGTCTGATACAAAATAATCTATTGCCAGTTTAGCAACTGGAAGACCTCTGCTGGAAGACGATTTAGTTTTGGTTACGATGCGTTAAGAGGAATCCAGGCTGTGGGAGAGGGTCTGGAGGAGCAGACCTAAACTGCCATGAACTAGAAAATAACTTGACTGAAGGAAAAAGAAGGTGGAGAAAAGACCTGGTGATCTCCAAATACTGAAAGGCTTCTCTGAGGAGGAGTAATCTGTTCACCAAAGGTAGGGTGTAAAGTACAAGAGGCAATGGGAAAACTGCATTGGTGAAGATTTGTTTTAAGGATTAGAAAAGAAAAACATTGCTATGGTAAGGATAAGAGGCTGAAGTAGTTCGCTTATGGAGACTGTGACATCTTTGTAACCAGAGGTAGCTGGTAACCAAAGCTCTGCTACATACAATGCAAATGTAATTCTGCCTTGGTCACAGACATCGGTTATCTGCTCAGATTTCTGTGATCGCTTTCCCGTGATTTTGCTGAGCACAGTGCGGTGCAAAGGCCTGTGCCCTGCCCGTCTGGCGCTATCTGATGGGTCTCGCCGGGGAGGGGTGTGCCAAAGGCAGGGTACTGATCGTTGCCACTATGTCTTCTTCCAGCACACTGGGAGAGGCTTGGGCCCAGCTAAAGAAGAGTCTTGCTGATGAAGCAGAGGTTCATCTGAAATTTTCTTCTAAGGTAAATAGCACTTCTTTTGAAGGAATTTTGCCCTGTAATTGATGTGCATCTCCCTTCAGTGCTTGTTAGTGGGGAAGATACATATGCATGTGGTACAAATTTAGAAGAATGAATAAATTGGTGAACAAACTTGCTGAAACTCTGTCCATTCTTCCTGCCAAAATCAGTTTATTTAACCTACCCAATGAGTAAGCTAAAACACTTCTAGCCTTAATTTTTCATAAAAAAGAAGGAAAACTGATTCTAGAGGTTATTCAGCTAAGGTCCAAGTTCCAGGCTGTTCAAGTAGATTTGCCTAGAGCTTGCATAGATTACTTCTGTAGGGAAGAAATAAAAAAATAATATCTGGCTTCTCAACAAGAAACTACTGTATCTGTCTGGAAGGGGGATAACCGGGACTCTGACTCCTTTGTGTTGCTGGCTTTTCTGAAAAGTGCACTGGGACCTTACTTGATGTTATTTTTGGACCTTCTCTCAAGTGATGCCCAAGGAGATTTCTTGTACAAGTTATGGTATTTATCTGGTTTTTTCCACCACATGTGTCCTGTTACATTATGTTAACCTCTGTGGGTGATCACATTCAATACAGTGGCAGATATCTCAGCACAACAGCCATGTTCTGGAGGAAAATTATAGCTCTGTGCTGTTGGTAAGCGATTATGCAGAGGTTACTCAGGCAACCAGCTGCTGCCTTGGTAACCCACCGCTCTGCTTTGAACTTGTACTTCAGGGCTGTCATTAGTGAAATACTTTTTGCTCCCCGTTGTTCTCCCATATTGTTTTCCAAGAGGAAGAAATGCACCCGGAGTGGTGTGTGCATGTAGGCAGGCAATGTATAGGGGCTCTTCCATTATTTTATTTTTTTTTTCTATTTTTTCTTAAACTCTGAAACTGCGCAGAAACCCCTGTAGCGTCTTCTGAACCCTCCCCTCTGCTCCCATGCCAGACAGTCAGAGCAGGACTGTCACTCGCAGGGGGTCGAGACAGCCCCATGGCCAGTGCCCAGCTACCATTCTGGTCATTTTTTTCTTTTTAAATTGCATTCAATTTGAACCTCGCAAAGCCCGGTTGTCTGTTGTGACATTGCATGGCCCTACTAAGAATAATTTGGCTGTTACCCTTTCAGCTGACCCTCAGCTGTAGGCCGTACTAGATCACTGTGGTGCCAGTCTTCATCCGCCCAAACAGGCTCTGCCTTAGGCTTGTTTAACCTTCCTAGGATGTGTGCTGTAGGACCTTGGCTGTCTTCATAGAATCACAGAATTGCTTAGGTTGGAAAAGCCCTTTAAGCTCACCCAGCCAACTGTTACCCTAACCCTGCCATCCCACCACTAAACCCTGTCCCTAAGCACCTTGTCTGCCCGGCTTTGTAATACCCCTAGGGATAGGGACTCGACCCTTTCCCTGAGCAGCTTCCAGTGCTTGACAGCCCTTTTGGTGAAAAAACTTTTCCTCATGTCCAGTCTAACCCTACCCTGGCACAACTTGAGGCTTTTCTCCATTAAAAGGCTGTACTGAGTTTGAATGAAGTTTCCTTCTGCATTAAAATAGCCTTGGAGAAAGGCCAAAAATACTTGCTTTCAGGGACTATTTGATACTGCTCCACTGTGGGCCACGGTAAGTGATTATGGACCCACTTTGCCTGCGTTGATGGAGTCCAGCATCCCTGCAGGAGGGACAATAGAAAAGAAGTATTTGGTTGCTTCTGGGGAGGTGAAGTATCACTTCAAAGCACATTTTCTAGATATCAGAACTGTATCAGAAGGCCAAAGAGCAATAGGATACAAATTCTGCCAGAGTTATTACTGACTGTCAGGCCGTGCTTGTAAGAGATCGGTCACCTGTGCAGTCTTGATGGATCCCTCCTGAGCTCATTTCAGTGGTTTCCTGCCACTACTTAAAGACTTTCAACTAAATATTCAGACTTCTCTTTACACTCCCTTATACTTGGCAGAAATACATAAAATATGCCCTTACAGGATCTCTTTTCACTATACAAGAAACGTAGATGTGTCTCCATGGCCCATGGACTGACCTTACTGCAGTCAGGGTTAGCAGCTTTACTTTGTGTGTTTAGTTTGTTGTTGTTTTTATTTTTTTTTAAGCAAGTTGCATTGGTTAGGCCAGAATCAGAGCACCTCAAGTAGTGCTCTGGGTACCGCCTGCCATTGGATCTGCTGTGTAAGAAGAGTGACATGATTTAATGGGGAGAGAGTAAGACAAGATTTCCATCCTTTTGCTCCCTTCAGTAAATACTCCGTTAATGGAGCTGAGTTCTGCAGTAGCTTCCCTCAGAGCTCTCCTGGGGACGAGCAGCGTTGCTGTTTGATGTTGCCTTGGCTGTGGCATGTGTATGGCTTCCTCTCCGTCCTGAGCTCTGCTCAGCAGAAGAGCGGGAATTACTGCCCAGCTCCTTGTTATTGCCATTTCTTCCTTTGTTTTCATTACTAGCTTCAGAGCGAGGTAGAGAAACCCTTGCTCAACTTCAGAGAGAACTTTAAGAAGGACATGAAGAAGTGTGACCACCACATCGCAGACTTACGGAAGCATCTGGCCAGCCGCTACGCAGCAGTTGAAAAGGTGGGAGTGGGGAACAAACCAGAGAGTTTATGAGATACTGCTGGTTTGGACAAAAAAGCAGCTGTCCCCTGAAAAGTTTCTGTTCTGCCAGAAAGAGCCACAGAGGTTTCTGCTAGGTGCTTTCTGCTGTCAGTTACGCTTCGCCGGGCCCCTGGCGGGATTCGCTGCTCGGGGGGGGCTGCAGGCAGGGCCAGCGCGTTACTGCTGAGTTGGCTTTTTGTTTCATCCTCCCCTCCCCGTTTTGGACAGTATATTTCTAATACATTTGATGAAAACACTCCTTGCTCGTGTGCACATGGAATTCACGTCTGTTGCCCTCAAAATTTAAAACCCTTTGCCTTCAAATAGCAGCAGGCTCAGGCCAAAGGCACGCCTGGCTCCGTAGTCTTCTCGTGCAGCGGCTGAGAGCTGATGGCCAAGGAAGCTCGAACCTGGCATGACGAGTCTCAAACCCTCTCCCAGCTCCCACTTTCTGCGCCTCACAGCAAACATCCTCACCTGAAAAACCCAAACATCAGCAGCACCCTCGTACCAGGGGCTGTTCTAACATGAACATCTAGTTCATGTTGTGAACATCCAGCTGGGGTTGTGATTTAGGGAGAGTTATGCCCACAAAAAGCGCTCTCTCATCAGCAGCTGGCAGGACATGGGGCACCCGTGCCTTGGCTGCCAAGGCGCTTCTGCTAAATGGTGTCCTCGTGGTTTGTTCTCTGGTGTAAGCTGGGAAGGAAAATACCATGCTCGGTCAAACCAGAAGGTTGTTTGGGCTTCCATTAAAGACCAGAGTGCAGATGAGAAAGTTTGCCTGGGGACAGAATTGTTGCAGGATACACAAGGTTATTAAGCTGTGTGTACACAGGAAAGGCATTTTTCTGCAAAACAGTAAGTTCTTCACAGCCGTATCTTGCAAAGAAATGCAGTCCTCAGTAGGGATATTGAAAAGAGCAGATTAGGATAGCCCTGAGAAGGAGGAGTAAGAAAAGGGAAGTGCCGTGCCTGCAGTGTGCCCGGTGAAGCGCACAGCTTCTCCCCCAACTGCTTTCTTGCAGCTCCCTCCTGCGACCTGCCGGACCGAGCACGGGGGCTTTAAAACTGCAGGCTGCAAGAATGCAGGGAATGCCTCAAGAGCCTTGTAACTTGGAGACTGGTGCAACTGCAGAAAACTGCAAGGTGCTAACAAAATCTGATCATCCAAATTTAGTTTTAAACACTGTAACTGGATAAAGAATAAACATGACCTATTTTATACCAAGTCTGTGCAAAACAAGTAATTTTGATTTTATATATTTAGGCAACCTCAGCAAATGAGGTGACAGCATGCATATGTGGTAATAATGTTTATTTGTTAAGGCTACTGATTTGCCTGTGTGTGTTCAGTAATGATACTGATAAATCAGGTTTTAAAAGCCTGGATAACTTCAAAGTAATATAAATAGTCAGTTGTAAGCAGATCTCAAGTTCATGCTTTCTGCAGTACGAAGTACTGTTATGAACTTGAATTAGTTTTTCTGGAATAAGTCTAAAAGTTCCCCTTGTTTCTGATGAGTGTATGTTAATCCAGAAAGTACTTAAAAATAAATTTTGTAAGATACTTGAAATTCTTTCAACAGTTTAAATCCTAAGACAAGCAAATGGAAGAGGTGTCTTGGCGATGCTGGTTGAGACGTAGAAGAAGCTGCAGGTTCCTCTTCCCCCAGAAATAGCGAGAAGGTTGCTAAGAAACATGAAAGTCTGACGATGCCTTTCTTACTGTGCCTTTCTAAGAGTGTGTGAACTGTTCAGGTGCTTTTGTGATTTGTTGGTGACAACTTCGGTATGGTGGTAGGACGCTTTATTTGAACGCCTGGTGTCCTAAGAACTTGAATCCCAGTTAGGACCCAGTTTTATGCAGAGCCCCTGACTTCTTACTGACTGCTTGTGCACTTGTGTGACGGAGTCGTACATGGCTGAAAACAGCTGTCAGCTCGTTCCCTCTAAAACTGTGACTCTTCTTTCATTACTCCAAGGCCCGGAAAGCCTTGACAGAGAGACAGAAGGATCTGGAAATGAAAACGCAGCAGCTAGAGGTGAAGCTCAGCAACAAGACAGAAGAGGAGATTAAGAAGGCGAGGCGGAAGTCCACGCAGGCGGGTGAGTCCTCATGTCTGGCGGCCGGAGCGGCCGCGGTCCCCTGGCTGGCAGGGAGAGGGCGGGATGCGGCTGCCCACCCACCCGTGCGTTTCTTGCCTTTTCGTATTGTAGCTGCAAAGCCAAACTGAACTGTGCTACAAATCTGTTTGGCATTACATCCTCTGAAGAAACAAGCCCTGTTTTTCCAAGCCAGGTGTCACAAGATGATTTTGGTAACTGGGGTGAGAACAGTAAAAGGAGGGTGAATTGTCCTTTTGTTTTGTGACAGCGTGCTGAGATAACTGAATGTTTGTGAAATTCTCCAAGTCAGATTCAAGGAAGCTCAGCTGAGGGTGTTTCTTGCTTAAATCATAGTTTCTTCCTTGGTTGTTTCCTAAATCACAGTCACCCACAACTATGTGGCTGCCTATTCTGCTGCCTATTACTGTCTTTTTCCTTGAAATTGAACTTTTTGTCTTTTTTCCACTGCCACTTAGTGATTAAAATTATTTCTGTTCAAGGGGTACTGAGGATATAGTAGTGTGTTCTATACCACACTAAGGACACAGCTACTTGATGTGACCTGTATGTGTTTTGCAGAGGCTCAAAGCACTTCTGCGGGATCCATCAGGAACTGTCTGAGATCTGCCAAGCTGATATGTACAGCTCTGCTAGTACCTTTGCTGAAAATACGTTTTGACTAGGGCTTCCATGTTTCATCCCTTCCGAGGCCCATTCCTTGACAGAGTGGCCCTTCAGAGTTCTGAGGCTTTTCAAACCTTAGGGTAGCCTGCCTGGGTTTTGAGGCTGCGGAGGGTCGTTCGCAGTTCCACTGCATGCATAGACAGCTGTCCGAGGAGAAACAGAAGTTAGGTGTTAGCAACAGGAGGCTCCATGAGAGATGCTCTTTATCCGTCTGCAAATTCACAGCCTCCCTGTGTTCTCTTGGGTCCTCAGGAGCTGTTTGTAATAGATATTTATTGAACAAGCAAGGGGAAGCTGCAGATCAGATAGGAGTGACCCAGCGTTCTCCCCACTGTGTGCCACTGTGTTGGTGCGTGGCAGGGGAGGACTCGCTCTGTCCCCGTGGGCGGGTGCTGATCCAGCTTTGAACTGGGGCCTGCTGCAGTGGGTGATGGGACTTGAGAGTTCAGAACCTGAGTAGTTCTGTGATCCCACCAGTTGCTGACACGTGGCGTTGCTTTCTGCTCCCATGGACTCATGGTTCCTGTCTTTCATGGCTTTCATGTTCCTGGCTGTACAGTAGCTCAGATTCACTCAGGGGGTGGAGAATAATCGAGGAGCCTCCTGGGAGCTGTCAGTTCGGACACGTCAGACTAGGCATCCCCCGTCTGGGCGGATGAGCTTACTGCTGAGCTTTAAGGCTTGAATCCTGCTTTCTTCATAGAGTTTGGTTGCCACCCCAAGTTCTAAGTCCATGAGGGACTTCCAGATGTATTTACTTCTTTGACACCTCTTTGGTCTGTGGAGTCCTGTTCTTAAAGCTTGATTTCTCCCCAGTTTATGCATAAAGACCTTTTTGCATCTAAAAGAACAGGATGAATTTGGGCCCTGGACCTAGGCATCAAACCATTAGGTAAAGTGTAAGTGAGCCTCATTTAAAGAAGAAAGAGAGTTTACTAGCCGGAAAGCAATAATCTCTGAGGCATGTGTTCCAGATTTTCTCCACACACCTTTCCCTCTCCATCAGAGCAGAGTCCTGCAACAAAGAAAAAATTGAAATAATTGCAGTCTATTGTGTGACTGCCTTGAAGCTGGGAGGAAGCCAGAGCTCAACTGGAATCGTGCATCTTCAGAGGCTGGAGAATGCATGAGTGTGCAGCAGGGTTGAGGTTGCAAATAAGCATCCCTTGATCTCAGACAGCTTGAGCCTGACACTTTGCTCCCATTTTAAACAGACCCATCTTAGAGTGCAGTCTTACTGATAGAGTCCTACCCTGCAGGTCAATAACTCGTTATTACTGATTTCCCATTTTAATTATTTTATTTTTCAGATACAGCTTTCCATCTATGACCATTTACGTGAAGTAACTTGCTTTCATAGTTTTGGGCATTTTGTAAAATACTACTTAATGTTCATATTTTCCTTTTAAAATCTTGTCTTTCCCCCTCATTCTTTCTTACCCCAGTCACCTTGTCTTTTACTACACCTCAACATTTTGTTGAAATTCTGTCACACCTAACAAATACCGCATGACAGAACTGCCTTTGGCTCCACCAAGACTGACTTTCAATCCCACTGGGTCTGTCTACAAAACGTGAACTGCAATTCCCTTCTAAGCTCTGCAACACTGGCTAGAGAAGACTAATGTGTTGCTATCTTGAACTTTTCAGGAGATGACCTGATGCGTTGTGTGGATCTTTACAATCAAGCCCAGTCCAAGTGGTTTGAGGAAATGGTGACCACCACTCTGGTATGTAACACTGTGCAGCATTTTGCATGTATAACATGGCATTTGGAAGTGTGTCAGTGCAATGTTTAAACTGCAGTAAATAAATAAAGGCAGATGGATGAGTGGAAAAACAGGAAGTAGATATCTTCCCAAAAGCAGAAGAAGAGAGAAGTTGTTGGCTGTTCCTATACACCTGATTTTCCTCTCACCCTCACTGGTGGTTTCTCACTGATGCAGATCATACGGCCAGGTGTATGTTAGCTGCACAATTGCTCCCAGAAAAGTGTGGCTGAGAAGTCCATGGACATCTTGGCCATCACTGGATGACTGGGCCTTGCCAATGTGACGCCATTCTACAAGAAGGGATGGCAGGAGGATCTGGGGAGCTGCAGGCCTGTCAGCCTGACCTGGGTACCGGGGAAGGTGATGGAGCCATTCATCCTGAGAGCGTTCACCAGGCACGGGCCCGACAGCCAGGGAATCAGGCCCATCCGGCACGGGTTCATGAAGGGCAGGTCCTGCCTGACCACCCTGATCTGCTATGACCAGGTGACCTGCCTGGTAGATGAGGGAAAGGCCACTACTTGGACTTCAGCGAGGCCTTTGATGCTGTCTCCCACAGCATTCTCCTGGAGAAGCTGGCGGCTCATGGCTTGGACAGGCATACCCTTCACTGGGTAAAAACCTGCCTGGATGGCCGAGCCCAGAGAGTTGTCCAGCTGGCGGCCGGTCACAAGCAGTAGTTCCCCAGGGCTCAGTTCTGGGCCCAGTTCTGTTTAACATCTTTATCCATGACCTGGACGAGGGGATTGAGGGCACCCTCAGTCAGTTTGCAAATAACACCGAGCTGGGCAGGAGTGTGGATCTGCTGGAGGGAAGGAGGGCTCTGCAGAGGGACCTGGCCAGGCTGGATCCATGGGCCCAGGCCAATTGTATGAGATTAAACAAGGCCAAGGGCCGGGTCCTGCCCTAGGGTCACAACAACCCCACACAATGCTACAGGCGTGGGCAAGAGTGGCTGGAAAGCTGCCTGGCGGAAAAGGACCCGGGGATGTTGGTTGACAGGCAGCTGAATATGAGCCAGCAGTGTGCCCAGGTGGCCAAGAGGGCCAGTGGCATCCTGGCTTGTATCAGGAATGGTGTGGCCAGCAGGAGCAGGGCAGTGACCGTGTCCCTGTGCTGGGCACTGGTGAGGCCGCCCCTCGAATGCTGGGTTCAGGGTTGGGCCCCTCACTCCCAGAAGGACATGGAGGGGCTGGAGCATGTCCAGAGAAGGGCAACGGAGTTGGGGAGGGGTCTGGAGCCCAAGGCTGCTGGGGAGCGGCTCGGGCCCTGGGGGTGTTCAGCCTGGAGGAGAGGAGGCTGAGGGGAGCCCTTATCGCTCCCTACAACTGACTGACAGGAGTGGGGAGCCGGGGGGTGGTCGGTCTCTGCTCCTAGGGAATGGGTGATGGGACGAGGGGAAACGGCCTCAAGTTGTGCCAGGACAGGTTTAGGTTGGACATTGGGAAAAATTCCTTCCCCCAAAGGGCTGTCAAGCCCTGGAAGGGGGGCTGCCCAGGGAAGGTGTCAAGTCCCCATCCCTGGAGGTATTTAAAAGCCGGGCAGACAAAGTGCTTAGGGCCAGGGTTTAGTGGTGGGATGGCAGGGTTAGGGGAATGGTTGGCCTTGATGATCTTAAAGGGCTTTTCCAACCTAAATGATTCTATGACTGAGAACAAAACGCAGATTAGGGGTTATAATACCAGTATCCAGGAGAAGAGGGAGGCAGAAGAAAATCAGGAGGAAAGTTAGAAGTCACCTGCCTGTTCAGCTAAAGCGTTGCTAGGGTCTGCTTACTGCCAGCTGAGCGAGGTGGGGACTTGTCCCAGCTTATCATCTGGTCGTCAGATAAAACTGCTCTTACAGGTGTCTGGTGAGACTGAAGGCGGCCAGACCCTCTGGGCCGTACGCTGCAGCACAGTCTCCTGCTTCCCCAAGGAATCACTGTAACTTCTGGAGCTAGCAGCGAAGTATGCAGAGCTTCTTGCAGAAAACAGATTCCCTCTTGCTTGCAGCATCCCTGAAGACAGTAGCTCTCTGCCTTGGTTCTTTCAGTTTTGGAAAGGTTTTAACCTTCTCTGTCATTAGGCTTAGGCCTATGTGACTTCTCTTGCTTGTTGTTTGATTCTCTGCAAATCAGAGGGATTCTGCAACCACAGGGTTCAGCTCCAAAGCATGACCCTGGGGTAGTATTGCACTGACTGGCAACCTTCTGTGTGTCATCCTTTCTGTGGGCCTTCAAGTTCAGCTTCTGAGAAAAATATGGACTTGTTTTTCTTCGTGTTCAGGAGCTTGAGAGACTGGAAGTGGAAAGGGTGGAGATGATTCGGCAGCACCTTTGCCAGTACACACAGCTGCGGCATGAGACAGACATGTTCAACCAAAGTGTAAGTCTGCTTTTGTTGGGTCCCTTTGGTCTTTACTGCACTACAGCTGAGCAGAACTGTCCCTATCCTGACCTGTAGCAAAAGATGTGAAAAGCATATGTGGTCAGCTTGTTAGTTTGCAGCAGTACTGTGCTGTTACCCTGCAGTCCTGCTCCTCCAAGGCTCTGTCCTGGTTCATGCTTCTGGATCACAGCTTTTTGCTGGGGAAGACCCCATGAATTGAATTGCATTTGGCCAGCATGGGCCGTTACTTGCTCTCCCAGGATGATGCACTACTACTTGCAAGGAGGATGGTAAATAGTTTCACTGTGGGGGAGGGAGTATATATTTTTTTCTCATTAAAAAAATGCCTAGTTTTCAAATACAAAAACACAGGGAATGTATGCCAACCTCAATACATGGCTATATTTGGTGTAAGGTGCAGACTGCAGGACAGGAGTCAGAGACCGACTGGCCAGTGCCTGGCGTCAGGAGCCTGTCTGCTTGACATTAAAAGTCTGCACCTTCTCTGCTTCCCACTGAGAGGCTTCACTTTCGGATCTGGCTGTTGTCCACTGAGTCTTGCGTATGTGCAGTTCTTGCTTGCCTGCAAACATGACGTAGGCATGCCCATAGCTGCTCTATGCTTCAGAGTGATGGCTGGTTCTGCTTGAAATGTGCCCTTGACATTTTGATTCTTGTTTTGTTCATTTTAGACAGTAGAGCTCGTGGATCAGTTGCTTCGGAAAGTGGATCCTGCCAAAGACAGGGAACTGTGGGTAAAAGAACACAAAACTGGAGATATCCGGCCTGTGGACATGGAAATATAGACTGATCCATACCTGTATGTGATGAGTCCACTGAATTAACCAGGCTAATGTTTGTTTCTTAAGGGTCAGAAGAGCATAGGGAAAAGGTTGTTCCACTACCAGACACCTTGTAATTTATGCCTGTACGGGCTCTCTCTGTTACATTTAGTCATTAAAATGGTCCTCGTTGTGCTAAGCCTTAAGCACCAGACATTCCAGGGTGAAGAAACCAGATGTGTGCTTCCCACCAGAGGTTCCCAATTGCACGCAGCTTCCAGAAGAAATCTGCTTTCTGGTACAGAGTAAGCTCTGTTCTCCAGTGACCTTGTGCTACATCCCTTGCATGACTATCTTTATACACTATGTTAGAACAACCACGCAGTGAGCCTCTGGCCAGCAAGTAGGTAACTGTTTGAACATGATGCAGGAGGCAAGGAAGTCCTGATCATGAATCCCAGGTCTGTCACTGACTGCTTTCATGGCCATAGGCAAGGCAATTAACTCTTCTGGCTCCCCCATCTATAAAATACGCGTATCTCGCAGCAGTGTTGTGCGAACGCATTTATTTCACATAGCAGTTTCCCACCATGGCAGTGAAGTGATGGCCCTTCTCCCAAATCTACGGAGAAGACTCGGGTTCTTCCTGTTTTATACTCCCTCTCAGGGATACATAAACCCACTATCTTCATGATTTCTGTTGTAGGCCAATCAATGAGGGTGAAAGTGTTACCATCACCGTTACGGATCAGGAAAGACTTGGTTGTGCTATACCTACCTCATGAGCTGCCTGAGTGCCCCCCATGACAGAAAGAGGTTATATACCAAGGAATAAATGAGATGTTCAAAACCTTTCCTGCTTATGCAAGATGTATCCTCACAGAATCTCCTTAAAGACAGTCCTCGAATATTTTATTTGGGATCCAGGTTTAAATTGACCTTTGTTGGTTCCTTCAGGTGGATATCACAGCCGTTAGGTATCTTTAATTACCAAGATTGTCCAGCTAAATTGTGGGGTTTATCTTTTCAGAGCCTGATTTTCAAAGGTGCCGTGAATCTGTGATGCTAGATTGCATTAAATGTAGATGTAGGTGCCCAGCACTTCTGCACCATCAGATCCTTAACCTTGGGTTTTTCCTTTGTTACCCTTACCGCAAACTACCAAATATTCAGCCCTGCTCTTGGCACACGGTGTTAAGTAGATGGGGACTGGTTCTGAAAAGGTGTTCATTTTCTTCTCCTGCTGTTATTTCTGATTAATTATTCAGTTTTGCTGTTAATGCACTTCTCAGCATTTCGTACAATGCCAAGATTCTTAAGATTCTTGCTTCAGATCCAGCAGTAACCTTGATTCTCACCGCTGTGGCCTTTACTCAGTGTTTACTGTGTTGTTGTCTGCAGGTTCCCAAACTGTGCTGTTTCATTTGATCCACAGTTAGGCTCCACTTTTTCTCACTGGTACCATCCTTTTTTATTTTGTTCTACTGCTGTTCAGGGGTTTTGTTCACCAGCCTCAAAGTGCTCTAATTAGATCATTGAGAATTAATATCCCCCTTTACAAATGCAAACTGAGACACAAAGGAGTCTTACCTGAAACACTTTTTTAATATTGCTGCAGTGATTTTTTTCCTGGTTTGTTCCCTTTTTCTCAAACCATCTCTTCAGCTGTAGATTTGTTCCTGTCTTGCAAATGCCTCCCCAGCCCACTTCTCAGCTGCTTCATTAACCGCTATGAACCTTTGGGCATTGGCAGGTGCAGTGGCGTGACCACTGCGTGCGCAGGATCGCTCTTCCCGGTGGGACACCTCCATACTGCGCTTCCATTACACACTTCTGAATTTGCAACTGCTGTTCCATTCTCGATGTTGGAAGTGCCCAGCACACTCTTCTGTGAGTCTCACCCATGTTCCTGCACAGACCATTGCAATACAGATGAAGCTTGGTGTACCCAAGTTTTGCATGGTCCTTAAGCTCCGTTGGAGTTCGTGTGCTTCCATGGACTCCTCTTCTGCTGCTCAAGCAGGGAAGTCTTGTGATGATCTTTTCAGTCTTCCTATCGATTCACTCTCTGTCCTGTTCATTTTTTTGGTGTACCAATGTATACTTTTCCTATCTCTACCATGCACTTTGGAGGACAGGCACTTTTTCTTTTTTTTTTTTTATTAACCACAGGTGCAGGGTGAGCTTTCAAAACTTCAAAATAACTGGAGTACTTAAGAGCTGCATCTCAGGTTGACCCCTGTATTCTAAGCTGTATTGTAAATTAAATTGAGCAATCTTGACACCTTACCACATTCTTGTTTTGATTGCAAAACCAAGCTAGTTGTGCACTTTATACAGCATTCTCCTTAATAAACACCTGGAATAATCTGTTACCAATTATACTTTATGTTTCCTCTTGCTTTAACGCTGTTTGTTATTTTATCTATTTTGGACTGGAAATACTGTCCATTAGCACAGGTTTCTTGGAGGACTGAAATGTATTTTGGTTCCTCTGCTAAGGTGTATTTAAGCTGCTCTCAATTTTCAGTTGTCTTTTTGGGTAAATTTTTTTCCCTTTTGTTTTATTTCCAGGCAGTTTTCCTGTCTGGTCCATTTGAGATGCTGCAGGGAGGTGTGAGCTGCACAGAATGAGACTTCTCTTGACGGCATCTGTATCTCTTTTTTTTTCCCTTTGATAATCTGAGCAGAGCACTTGTGCCTGGCTGTTAATCTTTACCAGGCCCAGCAAACTCTGGCATGGCGCTGCCTGGCAGTGGGTAGGATGCTCCCTCTACAGCAAGACTTCCATCTGTAGTCAGTGGGAGCCATAGGGAAGTTTTGCTGTTGCTTGTAGACCGTTGTAGTTTCTGCTATTTTAGTCACCAGAGGTATCAGTCTTTTTTTGTTGAGTGACGAGGCTGTCACATCTCCATATGGCTCTGTGGTCATGGAGCAGAAGGTCAGCTTTCGATGAGTGCTGTTTGCTTTCACCTGAAGAGGTACAATTAGTGGGAATTGGCCTCTGTTTCTTAGCTGGTAGCTCCGCCTGTGTTTCAGGAGTCCTGCCGCTCCCGTGGAGCTCCCGCTTGGTCTCAGCAATACTGTTGTGTACTTGCCTCCTGCTGTCAAGCCTCTGGCTCCCTGGTGGTCCCTGCTACAGCTAGAGCCTTTTGGCCCTCGTCTGAGCTCAAGGGCTTCATGAATTCCTGCGGCTTTGAATCCTTTGGGTGTCCTGACTCCCGTGCCAGAGCTGGTGAGGTGCTTACCAGCTGTAACCTCAGCTGTCGTACAGGATGAGAACATCTTATTCGTCATCCATACCAGCCTGCCTATGTCTTCAAAGCCATCTTCTGGCACAGCTTACTCAACAGAGACTCCTTGCTGGAAGGCTTTCTCTAAGGTATTTCAACTTATTTCCTAACAGAACTCATTCTGGATCCAGTGCCATTGGCTGATTCCCATTGGAGTTAATGAGCTGAAAGCAATGAGTCCTTCACAAAATGGGCCAAGTGCACTCTTCTTCCATCGCTGGCAAGATTCCAGTTGCTGTCATAGGACAACATCCAAAAAGGCCTAATTCTCACATTTCCAATCTGTTCCAGATTCACTCACATCTGTAACTCACATTTGTTCATCACTTCTGTGTGTTGAACATCTTTTGAAAGACTTCAGCTGTTCCCTTGTAGGAATGTTATTTAATTATTTGACACTGGGATCTTTAGAGGTAGCTTTAATTTTTTTTTTTAATGTTAAAGTATCTATCGTAACAGCAGTGAAAGGCTCATGGAAATCCCTGTTCTGTCTCTAGAACGCTCTCCCCACTCTGCAGCCCTGCCTGAGCTGCGGTGGGGGAGCTGTCTCCACCTGGTGTTGCACTGTTACATTAAGCACTGAAGTTGTTCTTCCCGTTGTCAGCATGCAGACCTGTGCTCTGCTCCTCTTGGTCCTCTATGCATCTGGGCAGTTCCGTGGTGCGGAATGAGCTGCTGTTTGTTTAACTGCCAGCCCCGTATGGTACTGTCAGCGTGTGTAGCTGTCTTGTGGCAGTGAACTGCACTCAGATCACCTCTTTTGTTTTGTTTTTGGTTTGGTTGTTTTTTTCCTAACAGGACTTTTCTGTAAAGCATTCCCAGGAAAATTTTACATGCTCAGTAGCAATCATAATTTCTCAGACCTTCTCAAGAACCTCTTCAAATTTGTCTCAGTTCTTAGTGTCATTATTTAAACATTTGCTGCAGTTAGACCCTTTATGTAGAAATGTGCACTCGTTTCACCTGCTCTTTGGAAGTGCTTGGCACTCAGAGTTTTCTTGGAACACAACAGGGAGCATGTGGGCAATAAGAGACTTTGAAAACCAGGCTTACAAATAGAATTGCACAAGCCTCTCTTTTCTGTAGTTGTTGGGTACATGTGTAAGGTAAACACGAAAAAGTGAGCACCTCAAATACTTGATGTACGAGACCGAGCTGCTGTGCGTGCAGTTCCCAGCCACTCCAGGAGTGCTCCAGCGTCAGGCTGTGGTAGGAGCTCAGCTCTAGAGCACGGGCCAGCAGCTCACCCTCTGATGCAGCTGTAAAAGCCCAAACCCAAAATTAAGTGAAAAAGTATGTCTGCCCATATATTTCTTCAGTCACATACAGGGAGAAAAAGCACTACTTGCCCAGGTGGGTCCTTCACTATCAAGCACCTTAAGAAATCCAGACCAGCACCTTGAAGGTCCCCCTGGAGTGAGTAGATGTGACTCTTGGTGTGATCAGTTGATTGTTTCCTTCTGAATCAAAACCGCGTTTGCTGTTTTGTCATAGTCAGTGTGCATTTTTGCATGCGTGTAGCTTGCTCGGTGTGTACCGAGGTGGCAGTCAGAGCCTGGTGTCCTGAAGGTGGTCCTGGTCGCCCTTGCGTGTCTGCTTTATGAAAACCAGGTCTTCAACAGACAGTGTCAAAGAGGCAGTTTTCAAAATAATGAGCTCTTCTGATGACAGACCATTCTGGAAAGCCTGTAGGCTTCTTGCTACCCAGCACATGTTGAAATAGGAGGTTGCTGAGGCATTGCTGTCAATGGTTCTTGCTGTGTGGACATTTCTCCCATGCTGGTGTGGCAGCAGGGAACAGCCAACGGGCGTCCTATTGGCACAGCAGAGGTGTCTGACATTTACCAGAGAGCCTGCTGGTGGCATTTAACTTAACCAGGCAGGCAATAGTCACTGGCAGATTCAAATTAAAAGCAAGACACATAGGGCAGGAAAATATTTAGCTGCCCCAGTGGCACTTTTGCTTCTTGACATGAGGCACTCGTCTCCCTCAGACCCTGACAGGTCCAGTAAGAGCCCCATCATTCTCCAAAGTCTGTTTAGTGCATGAAAATCGGTGATGAAACGTTCCCTTGTATCTCTCCAGCTAGCACCTGGTGGTGCCAGCAGGAAACCAGGATGTGGCCGTGCCACACTGGTGACCACGGAATGGTTTTGGCACGTGGCAGCACTGCAATGTCCCATGCCCTCGCACTGAACTGGTTGTGAGCCAGTGTGGGTGTCCCCCAGCAGCTTGAAGTACGCGGTCTTTCTGTTGCATAATGGTGATGAAGTCTTTTCCGTCAGCAAATCCTCATCTTTTCCTGAGAAGCACTGCTGTATAAATAATGCTCATTACTTTGTCGTAGGTCTTACTCATGTAAACGTGCATATTTCAATTCCTACTTTTTCCCCTTCATTCTTGCTGTGGCCAACCCTCTATCACTGAGATACACCAGTTCTCAGGAGCTTTTCTTAATTTTTGAATTTTCATAGACTGTCTCTGTTGCTTTAACGTGCTGACCACACTCCATGCTTCTGGATGTTTTCTGAGAGTGGTTAAGTGCATGGCTTTTGGAGGGGTTATTTTGCCTTTTGTTTTAGAATTTTCTTCTCAGCCACCAGGTTTGGAAGTGCAATGACTCTTTTTTTGTACTAGTCACAGTTTAGTTTTCCTTCCTGGACATTTTTTCTGAAGGGACCAACACATAGCACAATTTGACTGAAATTTCTAACCCCATGCATTCCTCAAGGCAGAAACCTTTTGTGCCTAATGATGCATCTGATTCTAAGAATTGTATATGGGTGAAATCTTTCATAGACCAATTAAAAATAAGTCTTGGGTTAATCACATAATAATCACAGAAAAAATACATAAATTTGAAACATTTTATTCCCTCAGCTTACATTAAGTTGAACTATTTCAGGTGCATCGTAAGAGACGAGCTCAGTGGATATTCAGAATGAAAGCTTTTCCGCTGCTGTATTCAGGTTCAGCGAGTGAACAAGACTATAAATTTGAATATATGCAGTCTTTCAGGGCTACTGATTTAACAAGTAACGGACTAATGGCTTGTATCACAACCCTACTAAAATTCTGCTACTAGTTCCCCTTGAAGTGCCTCTTCAGATTGTATCTGCTACAAGCCTGTGACGTACACAGGTTCACCCTACCAATTTCCCAAGCTCGGGAGCAGCCAGCACGCACGGATCTGTGCAGGACTCTCAACCCCCCTTCTGTGCACCGTGCAGTCATTCAGGACACCCATATTCCCGGTAGACCCGCCACGGTCTCGCCAGTCGTTCACCGTCCAGCAGGGCCATCCTGAATTCTCGGTGGTGGAAAAGGAGTAGGAAATGTTAGACTTAAAAGCAACCGCACTGAAGGAGCGTCGCTAACCTAATCTTCTGACGCATCTTTCACTGTAGGGGTCCCAGTAGAGTAAGCAGAGAGTTCCACATAAAAACAGTTGAGTAAGTGGCATTTGGGGCCTAAGTAGGCCTTTTTTGGGTAAAAGAAAAAGACTTTTTCTTAAAGCAGTTGCTGATAAGAAATTTTCTGGTACTGGACGCCTAAAGCTGAATAGCAGCTTCAGGGATCTCCCATCTGCACGACATGACAATCAGTCCTTTGAATTTGGGAATGCTTGGCCTGAAATCCCTTGTCCCTGTGGAGTTTTTTGATGTGATGGCTGAGATTTTCAGAATAGCGTAAGGCATTTGGATGTCCATTTACCACTCTCTTACTTCAGCAGGTCAAAAACACTCTTTAGGGACAGCAACCTCTCTCCATTTTGAGAAAAGCAGGCGCTAGTATTGGACAAAATCTCCTCCTCCTCCTTAGGTGGTTTCCTTTCTTTTGGCAGCCCAAGACAGTGTGAAAAATCCACTGGACGGCTTTGCAGGCATTCTAAGAGCAGGGATTCAAAGGCAGGCCAGATCACCAGTCATACACTAAACCAGAGTTTTCTACTAAAACCAACTTGCTTATTTGGTCCTTTTTGTGTAACTTTTGCTAAATACTTCTAAATTTCTAGGAAAGTTGTCTTTTGCCAGTACTAATGACTTATTTTTAAAGATGTTTAATGAAAATTTTGTAAATTCCCATAAATTTTGGCTGAATAGACCCCTTAAATAGTTTATGTATTATGCAGCCTCTGTCTGGGTAACTAGTAAATCTTGGATCATTGTGCAAATTATAGGATGGCTTTTGTTCCGTAAGCATACATGAAGGAATCACTTACTGAACTTATGAAGTTGAATGCAGAAAAGGTTTAAGGGGCAGATCTTCAGCTCAGGTAAACTGGCAGAGTTCAGTGGAAGCTGCTTTATGTCAGCTGTGGATCTCGTCCTTCAGTGTTGAAGGCATTTCCTATATGTAATTTTTCTGTCTTACTGTAAAACAATTTCATATGGTTAAACTGTATTTTCCTATATTGTTCTGCAAGTTTATATACACCACAGTGCTCATCTCATCTCCTGTAAAATAAACTGTACAGAGACACATTGAGCATGGAGTTGTCTTTACCCGGTTGCTTTTTCTTCTACCAAAGCCACACACCTTCTGAATGCAGTACCATCGAAGAGTGCTGGGGGTGCCATACACCCATACCCTGCTTTGCTGACACGGGCTGAATGCAGCTTGGATTTGCAGTCACGTAACTCAGGTGTAATCTACTTGTACTTGACCTTTTCAGATCTTTGCGTGATATTCAGATGAGTACAGTCCCCAAAATTTCGTTTTTATTAGGAAATCGATTTAAGAAACACCTGTAGTTAAGTGTTTTTGTTTCTTAAGCAAGCGAGCTGAGCATGATCAGTCTAAAAGCAGCTGCCGTCAGATGGGTGTGCTTCAAGCTATCTGCACGTCCTCTACACCCCGACAGCTCCACGTGCATCTGGAAGCTTAGTGGAAGAGAAAACACAGTTATAAAGCACTGTTGTTAATAAATTATTCTACTTTGAACATTTGAGTTAACATGCATGCTGGCAGATTTTCCGACAAAGTCAAAATCAGCCTTGCCAGAATTCTGTCTAATCCACCGACTTCCTTGGCAGTGACCAGAGTGGGACACTGCTGTAGAAGCAAGCTGGGAGCAAGCAGGCGTTCTGCAGAACACAAGCCCGCCTTCCCCACAATGTCTGACTTGGGGACCTTGCAGGTAGCGGTGTTATCCGCACATCTCATAAACCCCAGTGGAGCTTGCTTCTAAGAGTTTGTCTGGTTTTGAACTCACGTAAAAACAGTTTCTGCAGCCAGCAGCAGAATGGCGTCCCAGAGCTCTGCGGTGTGCTTGTACACTGATCTGGTAAGTAGTTGCAGAAGGTGCACGCTCTTCTCAGAGAAAGAGAAAGGTAAGACACTGAAAAAGTTCCAGGTGGAAGCTTGGTTTTCACAGCGCAGTCTTTGCACCTTGCCCAAAGTAGCCTAAATCTGTTAAAAAATGCCAGAGCGCTGTTTCAGGTGCTGGTGCATGTTTAACAATGCTCCGCGTGCTCTGGTACGTTAAACTGCAGCTTACCGGCAAAAAGCATTTTCGGTTGTAGAGAACATTGATACAACTTGGAAGCCCAAGCCAGGGAGTTACTGTGCAAGCCGTGACACTTGCTACGCTGCTGCAACGACGGCGCTCAGTGAGACAGAATGGTGAAAGGACCAGAGTGGATGGTGGAAGTGGGAGGGGAGCAGCCTTGCAGTCTGTGGCATCTAGATGTAAAGGGTAGGAGGTTTTACTCCATTCTGCACAGGGATGCCTGTGCTAGACTTGGGCAACCAAAATAATCAGAAATCAGCTTGGATTCCACAATGCAATTAAGCCTTTGACTCTCTCGTGTTTCTCAGAAGTGGAAAGCAAGCTGCAAGGGCATCAGTGAGGAAATATGATTTCAGGCTGCTTTTGGGACTAAGTAGACATGGTTTGTGCCTCAAGCTGTTATCTAATGCTTCAGGAGGTCCTGTTAATTATAAATAAAATCATGTCAATATAGTCTGCATCTTCTGCTGTTTCCCTGGTCAGCAATAAAACCCTGAAATCTCCAGGTAAATGCAAGTTTTCTGTGCAGTGAACTGGACAGTATGTTAGGAATATCCTAACTTCTACTTTGTTCCAAATTTGCAAGGAATAATAAGTCCCCGGGAAGCAGAACAAACTTGAAATTCCTCCCACTTGAGGAGAGGGTGGGACGTGTTGAGGTGGATTTGCATGAATAGTTTGAGTGCGGTTCTGAGCAGCAAAAGCAAAGAACTGGATTGCTGTGATGCATTACTGCTTTGCCCTTCAACGCTGAGCCTGCAGGAGAGCCGTGGCAGGGTGCACCCCTGCCTGCTGTCATGGTGGGTGGGAGGTGGCGTGGATTCCTTGGCTGTTTTAAAAGCTGGACTTTCTGAGAAGGGCACTGGTGACAACCCCATTAGAAAGAGGCCTTCAGGCGGTTCAGAGCTGGCAGCGGTGCAGGTCCGGAAATGCCCTGGATGAGGTGCAGCTGTGAGGAGTGGTTCGGGTGTGCACAACACACCATCTTGGCTGTGTTGCTTTCCGGGGCATGTGCCACGGGTAGGAGATGAATAGCCCTTTCGTAGCCCTTTCACAAGCCCCTTATAATGGGCAGATTCTGAACCGACAGCCCCGTCAGCAGGGAGAGGACCCAACAGGAGCCTGGGGGGAACATGAGCTGACCCCTGTAACTCAAATTAAAAAGCTTTAACCAGCATAGGTTTGGTTTGCAACATTCCTGAAAACTGCAGTGCATGCAGACTGCGCCGTGTTGAACAGCACCCACCCGGCCCTGGCGGGGTCCTCCCTTATTCCACTGTTGTGCAAGGGGGCTGCGGCCGCAGGGGCGTCCCCTGCAGCAGTCGGATCACATTGGCACATAAGCTGTCGGGGATGGCTGAACAAGGGTTTGTACACTATTTCAGGACGAGGCATCTGCTTTGTTGGCTGCAGGAGCCACCCTGTAGTTGTCTTATGCTGTTGAAGCTAAGTGTTAACTTTTGATACTGTATGCTGTATTTTGATTCTTGGTTTTGGACTGTCATGCAGCTTGCAGACAAGTGCTGCATTTCAGGCGTATCTGTTTCACGGGTAAGGCTGTGTGCTCTGCAGTGACCTCCTATGCAAGAAAAGCCCCATCAATTGATTTGAGGAAAATCTTGTCATTTTTTATCTATTTTTTATTTCAGACAGGGACTTCCTGCAGGTGGCATACATTGTAGGTGGATGTTTAATACAACTCATGAGCCTGGAAAGCCTCGCAACCTGTTAGAACCATTTAGAACTGACCGTTCTGACACAAGCTCAATACTTGGCCACCTAAGATTAAATGTTTGAGTAGATGTACCTCACCAAATGGCATTTCTGCAAGTTTTTCTTACGTGCTCACTCATACTGTCCCACAGTTCCCAAAAAAGAAAGTCTTGGGAGTGGCAAGAGCCCCAGCACTGCTCTTGCTGTGATAAAAGTGGAGTTCGGCTTTCGTCAACAGCAGCCTGCTCCACCTAAAGGCAGAAAGTCTTGCCCTATGGTGCTTATGTAGGTCTGGACTCTGGAGAGTTTCTGTCGTTGCAGTGCCCAGAAATTATTTCCGACATTGAAGGAAGGGCCCTCCTTCTTAATGCATGTTGGGTAGAAACCCAGTAGTCAGTAAGTCAGTAAAACTTAACTGGGTCCCAGGTTAATTAACCATTTCCTATTTGTAAGAGAAAACCTTGTACCAGTCTTGTGTTTGGCAAATGAATGCCTCTTTCCATGTTCACACGCTGGGGTTTTGCTTATGTCCAAGAAGCTAAAGCTCATTTGAAATTGCCACTCCTAACTCATCTGAAGTCCAGGGAAATGAAGCCTTCCTCTCAACAGCCACCTACATCT